GAGAGCTCAGTGTGTAGCTCAGCTGGGCAGCCCAGGGAGCACAGAAATCTGGGGTGCAGGGCAGCAATGGGGGGGGGCAGAAATGACCTCCCCTGATCCCACAAAATCCCTCATTGGGATCAGTCGGGTCCCAAGTGTGCCAGACCAGGGAGGTCCAATCTGTATTTCCTGCTGTGCAGCTCTGCTATCTCTGAGGCATTTGGAGAGGCTCCCCTTGGTTTCCTTGCAATTCTCAGATATTTCTCCCCACTTCCCTCCAAGCCAGTGAGCATACAAGAAATCAGAGGCTTATGAAAACAAAAGGGGATTGGATTTATTAGACAGTCAGATATGAGACAGTTCTATCTTGCGAGTCTGAGGGTATGTCTACACTACCCTCCTAGTTCGAACTAGGAGGGTAATGTAGGCATACCGCACTTGCAAAGGAAGCCCGGGATTTGAATTTCCCGGGCTTCATTTGCATAAGCGGGGCGCCGCCATTTTTAAATCCCCGCTCGTTCGAACCCCGTGCCGCGCGGCTACACGCGGCACGGGGTTCGAACGAGCGGGGATTTAAAAATGGCGGCGCCCCGCTTATGCAAATGAAACCCGGGAAATTCAAATCCCGGGCTTCCTTTGCAAGTGCGGTATGCCTACATTACCCTCCTAGTTCGAACTAGGAGGGTAATGTAGGCATACCGCACTTGCAAAGGAAGCCCGGGATTTGAATTTCCCGGGCTTCATTTGCAAGTGCGGTATGCCTACATTACCCTCCTAGTTCGAACTAGGAGGGTAGTGTAGACATACCCTGAGAAAGGGAACAAGTGGGGTAGCTATGATTTTTTTATCCAAATCTAAATAGAATGGATAGTTAGATGATATCTATGCTGCAGCGCTATTTTGGGATACTGAAGTATCCCGAAATAGCTATCCCGCCTCTTCATAGCAAGCCCGTTATTTCGGGCTCGCTATTCTGGCATTCTTGTAAACCTCATTCTTCAAGGAGTAAGGGATGTTTTGGAATAGCACTTTATTTTGAAATTTGGCACTTTGTAGACAGCACCAAATCATGAAATAAGTTATTTCGAAATAGCCTCAAAATAAGATACACAATTTACGTTGCTCAAATTGCATATCTTATTTCAAGTTACAGTGATGTTTAGATGCACCCTTGGGGACTATGTCTGGAACAATGTATTTCCTTTGAACTAGTTCTCCCACTCCTCTCTTTAAGAACTGTCATGTTTATTAGTAAGAATAAGTTTATTAAAAAGTGCATATTAAATTACGCTTGTCTTTCTATAACAGCACAGCTGTATTAAAACCTTTTCTACTGATTCTGTAGCAATCAGGTATGGGGCTCAATTCTTCCCTACTTCTGACCCCAGTTATTACATAGGAAGTGAGCAATCTAAGGCTATGTCTATACTGCGGACATTTTCCAGGATACTGAAATTATCCTGGAAATGCTCTGCCATGTCCAAGGAATGCTTCTGCTTTTTTCAGAACAGTTTCTGGAAAAGCGGATGCGTTCTTTTGGCATCCTTGTATTCCTCATTGTATGAGGAATAAGGGATGTTCCAAAAGAGGAGGTTTTTCCAAAATTTGGCCCGATGTAGACGGGCCAAATTTCGGAAAAGCCTCTTCTGAAAAAAAAGCGGAAAAAGATATGCAAATTGCGGTTTGCTATTCGTTTATCTTTTCCCAATAGAACTCTACAGTCTAGACATAGCCTATGGGTGCATCTACACAGCTCCCTAAACTCGAAATAAGATACACACTTTGCACTACACAAATTGTGTATCTTATTTCGAAACTATTTTGAAATTGAAATTTTGGTGCATGAACACAGCGCCAAACTTCAAAATAAGCCACTATTTTGAGACATCCCTTATCCCTCATGCAATGAGGTTTACCGGGCTGGCGAAATAGCATGCCCGTTATTTCAAAAAATATTTTGAAATAACAAGTGGTTTGTGTAGACATGGGGTAGCTATATTACCATGCAGTGCAGATGTATCCATCAGTAACTAGTTACAGCTCCCTGAATCAGAAATATTGTGGCCCATATATTAGTTAGAGTAGCCCAGCTGTTATTCTATTTCAGTATGACACTGGAATGAGATAGTAGAGAGCCATGATCCCAGTAACTAGATCTACATAAACAAGAGATTTTTTGGGTCACTTCAAATAAAAAATGATTATTTAAAAATATTCAGCAAGTCATTTAAAAAAATGGCTCTAGGTCAAAATGTTCTGATTTGATTTTGGGCATGTTAAATATTTTAAATTTGTTAATAAAAAATTAAATTTTGAAATGCTGTTGTAAATTGAAAATAATCTAAATGTTTTGCTTAGAAAACAGTGAAACAAAATATTTGAAACAGTGAGGCAAAAGTGACATGAATTCTCCGTGTGTTTCACAAGCACCTGATCTGCACACCAAAGCACAGTCTCCATGAGCACATGCAGCAGTCTCACTCAGACTCTTTGAAAGGTTTCTGAAAATCAGGCCCTCAACCTTCCTAGGTTTCCTTCAAGGGTGGAAAAGGGACCCGAGTTCTATAATTCACAGACACTAATTGCAGAGGCCTATCAACCTGACTTAGGGCCACATCTATCACATAAGCACACAGACTGATCACCAAGTACTGGGGAAAGAATGATGGAGGTTTCCTTCTCCACAGGGTGCAGAGTCATTCAGCGGCCACTCTTACAGCTCAGCGGTTACATTACCTGTTAAAAAACTTATACCTTCCCACTCTGGAGCCCCCGGCATGCTGATCAGTTATCAGGCCATGTGGCTACTGTAACTCCAAGATGTGCAATGAGAATAACTGCCAGCTGCTCCCTTCCTTGGGATTCAGAACATAAGGTACCTGTGTGCCAAGATCCTTTCCAAACCTCCCTCCCTGATCTGGAGTGGGTTGCATGATAGGGAGCTCTAGCAGGGACAAGTCTCCATCTGACTCTCCAGCCTGAATGGTTTTACAGGGTTAGCAGTTTATTGGGGCGTGGGGGGAGGGAGTCCTTGTAAACCGAGTGCATTCAATCTGGAGTCAGTACTGTATTAAACAGGCAGTCCAGCAATGACTTTTTACAGTCACTATTTGGAATACAGCCACACTTTAGAGGACTATATTGAACTATTCTTCGGTGTTTACTATTAAATAGTGTTTGATTTTTAAATCATAATACAACCTCACAAGGGTTCTATTTTCTGCTGTTCCCCGAGTAGTTGCACAAGACAGTCATGCTGTATAGAAGATTATTCTCTTACTTCTCTATGGCTATTACAAGATCACCAACAAGAGAATGACATGATCTTATAAACTCCTTATAACATGAGCTCATTGTCTTAAAGAAAAATGAATATAGTACTCACAGTATATTCAGAAGGATCCAGCTGTGTCTGTCTGAGCTTCACTACTCCTTGCTCCATTATTTATAGGACTGAACAGCATTAAGCACCTTGCCCTCTTGTGAAATATTAGATCAAAGAAAAATTAACAACAAGGTCAGACAAAATGCTGATGAAACTAGTTTTTCTGGACACTCAGGTTCAAGAGCCCACCGTCTATGCACGTAGAGCAGGCTAAGGTCAAGGGTCATGGGGTCCAGCTAGAGTGTAGTTGTGTCTATGATGTTTCTAGGTGTCTGTAAGCCTCCCTGTGCAAACACACATTGGATGCAGCAAGTTCCCCAGAGGTACTTCCAAAGTACAAAGGCAATAAATCTCATGACTGTGTTTAAACCAGCAGGCGTCAGAGTATACAGCTGTGGTGGGGGAGCCGATGACAGCACTGTACAGGTGACAGCCACTCTTTCGGGGATCCTGGAATCTGCACCAAGAGATTTCTCTGTGTAGCTCATTGGAGACCCACATGATGGAAGCCAGACTTTCCTGTGAATCTCCAGTCTTACACTGGGACCAAACCCTGCATGTCTATCCTATGAGTCTGTAGCTGAAAGAAGTATGCAGAGAAGAGACACCACCCACAGCTGAGGGGAGATTTCATGTGGACTCTTCCTCTGCAGGATTTTTCCACGGTAGAAGATTGGCCTGTTTCTAGTATTCTCATACAGCATGTCCTTCAGAAAGCCTTGCTAGTGTTACCTGTAAGAATTGATCGTTGATTAATATGAGTAGAACTGGAATTACTGATTTCCTTTATACCAGATTTCTAACATTGGACTTCTTGAATTCGTATAAAACAACCACCCTACCCCTTAGTGAAATCCACCTATTATTAACAAGAACAAGTACATTGGAACGATAACAACTATAATTCAGTAAAACTAAACACACTATCCATTCCTGCAGCCAGATGGGGACTGGACTGCTCCAGGATTAGGGCTTGGGTAAGGATGCTGTGTCCAGATGGGGTCTGGGCCCTGATTGGGCAGAGTGTCTGGCCAGGGGGAGGAGACAGAAGCAGGGTAGGGTGCAGGAGCAGGCTGGGGGTAGGGTGTCAGGCCGGAGGGAAGGGGGAAGGAGCAGGCTGGGGGCAGGGTGTCTAACCAGGGAGAGGGTGCAGGAATGGGCTTGGAGAAGGAGCAGGAGCAGAGGATGAGGCAGGAGCAATTTGGGAGCAGGGTATGTGTTGGGGAGGAGCAAGTAGGAATGGGCTGAGGGCCAGGTTTCTGGCCAGTGGGAAGGGGGTAGAAGCAAGTTGTGGGCTGGTGTCCGGCAGGAGAAGGGGGCAGGAGTGGGCCGAAGGCAGGCTGTGGGTAGGGTATCTGACCAGCCCAGGAGAGGAGGAAGCCAGTGCCTGGGGAGCACGCGGATTGCTAGAGCCAGGCAGCAGCTGTACATGGGCAGGCAAAGGGAGGGGGGCAGCAGCGGCTTTGGGGGGGGGGGGGCCCTCC